GATAAGACCATGCTCAACTTGTAAATGCAATTACATCATTCCCCCCTCACTTTGGTGTAAAGAAAAAATGGTATAATTGCAAGGCCATCTAAGAGCTTGTCTGAGCATTGTCACAGAAGTTAACTATCATGACAAAATTGGATATGTCAGGATGGGGGAGTATCCAAACACTCTAAAACATCAAGCATAATATTTTCTTCCTCCAAATAAGTGGAATTTTATTATTTTTGAAAGGTTACCTTTAAATATTTTATGCATGTTTTGAAAGCCAGGAGTATGCTATTCACTGTCCATTCTTCCTGGATGTGAAAGTTAGTAGGTGAGAATGAACTACCTTTCATTGGTGAAAATAAAGGCAGCCTTCATAAAAGTTTCTGTTTTAATTCCTTTTTAGGGAGTGTGAGGGAATTCTGAGGAGACAAAATGATCTTCCCACAGCCATCTGTGATCAACAAATACAGTCATTTTATGAGGACAATAAACATAGTGAAACAATGCACAAATCCAAAAACGGAAATAGGTTTGTCTATGATCTTTAGATTATATATGCAAGACTGTGAATTAGGGGTTATAAAACTAGCTTATTGATGTTTACAACTTCCACTCTTTTCAGTAAGTCAAATGACACTGTCTGGATTTCCTAAAATATAATAGCACAAGGTGCAGATGTCAAATGGAGCCACATTAAAATAATTTCAACAGCTTGGAAGTCTCAAACTGCAATAATAATACCTCCAGAATCATAATATCTGAACTGTGTGTTTGCACATGCCTCCTAGTCACCTGCTGGCTTATGGCAAACCTATGAATTGCTTTGGGTTTTCTTGGGAAAGGAATACTCAGAGGTGGCTTTGGCAGTTTCTTTTTCTGAAATATGGAATGTAGCACTTGATATTCATCTCCCATCCAAATGCTAGGCAGGACTGACCCTGCTTGGCTTCAAAGAGTCACCAGGATATGCTGCTTTTATCTACAAATAAATAACCAAATTTCTGCACAGTAAGGACCCTGCATTGCTATAGCATTAGAGTTCCATTTTGTAGGGTTTTTTAATTATTGCAGGCAATTGCTGTATTAAATGTTACTAGGGCCAAGATTCAAATACAGTGAACTTGGCATTATTTCTGCATTTGTCTGGCATATCCTCCAGCTTTCCACAGAAAATGGAGACATATCTTTGTGACACTCTAATTCCAATACTACAGAACATTGTTCCAGTTCAGAGAAAGAGAATTACATAAGCTGAAGAATCTGCTCACTGAAAATATCTGGTGTTGTGCTGATTTAAATAAAATAGGATGCTTGTTTCTTGGATAAAGGACATATTTGTGAAATGTATTTGTCCTACAAGGACTTGCCAACAGCTTAAACAACTGTCACCTGCTTGCAAAGTGGCAGTGTCAGGACTGCACAGCACCTGACAGTATATTTCTGTGCAAGTTTGCTCACAAGTAAATATAAGTAGAGCCTCACTTATCCAACATAAACAGGCCGGCAGAACGTTGGATAATAAGGAGGGATTAAGTAAAAGCCTATTAAACGTCAAATTACATTATGATTTTACAAATTAAGCACCAAAACATCATGTTTTACAATGGTAACATTATGTAGTAATTCCTGTATTTACGAATTTAGCACCAAAACATCGCAATGTATTGAAACAGTGGGAGGCAGATTGTGTTGGATAATACAGAATATTGGATGCACGAAGGTTGGATAAGTGAGATTCTACTGTATGATATTCCCTAGTCAGTGTACTTTGAATTTCAGCTTTTATTTTGCCTTTAAGGTAGATGCTTACTGGCATGTCCCGTAAAGAGAAGGTACGTGTACTGCCCCACTTAAAAATTCAGATAATGGAAACACTGAAGACGGAACAAAATCCCAGTGCAATATTAACTAGGATTCACCAAAAGCAAGGAAAATTTATCCAGGAACATTGACCTGAAGATTGAAAGTGTTCCAGCATGTGCTAAACACGCAGCACTCTTAGTACTTGTTCCTAGAAAGAGTTGAAGCAGGCAGGACATTTTCAGGGATTTGGTCCAAAATAAGGGCCTTTCAACAGAGGCTTAAATCCTGCACTGAGTCATGGGTTTACCTACATGAGATTTGGCCCTGTCTGGAAGGGCCCTGAGAGTTTTACTGACTTGTTGCTTTGCAGCAAGGTAGAAATGTCATCATATGACACAGCCTCTTGTTTCTCGTGAAGCTCTTACTGTTTCATCTACCCAGAAATGACCCTAGGTAATTTTCAATGGTAAGCAAACAGTATTTTGCCCCCCCCCCCCAAAAAAACCCCCAACTAATCATTGATATATATTTTCTGTTCATCGTGGGAGTTCTGTGTGCCATATTTGGTTCAATTCCATCATTGGTGGAGTCCAGAATGCTCTTTGATTGTAGGTGAACTATACATTCCAGTAACTACAACTCGCATTTGTCAAGGTCTATTTTCCCCCAAGAGTGCCTCAAGAATGCACCTGGGCAAAATCAACTATACTGCAAATGCTTACTTTGCGTAACGGGTTGAACCGCCCCTGCACCTACCCCATGAAGTGAAATAAATAGATTAATATGCTAAAATGTGGGCTCATGCACACATTCAAGGAAGCTCTGTGCACGTGAGCATGTAGATGTGTTTCTTTCAATTTTTTTTTAAAATCCTACATACATTGTGTATGTGTGGTTTCCTTCTGTTAAAACTTAATCCAAAATCAGTAATCTGCTATATCATAACATTACTGTGATTTTTCATTCAACTTCTCCTTTGGTAGAAATGGTTTCCCCCAGCATATATGGAAAGGCTGATGATATTACAACTAGTGAATTACTGTTGAAATACAAGTTTCTTTATGTTGGCAGAAATTAAAAGGATGTAATTGTCTCAGAGGAGCAAAACCAGGCCCATACTAGAAATACTACTGCAAGTACTAGAGAAGCAAATTCCAATACTTTTTAGGGAAAGCCAAGCACAACACTCGTGTATGAGTATAATGTTTGGCATTTACAACTCTTTAGGACAAAACATTGCTTTGATGGATGTCACAGCTTATTTTCTGAGGAAGAGTTTTGAAGAACCCTCTAGCATCCATGCAGGCATACGGCATGTTTATTTCAATATTTACTTCAGATCTTTCTTTGTTTTTTAATTCTTTGTTTTATTTAAGTGAATTGATGCTGATATTAAGGAGTAATACCAAGATGGGCAATACAGCTCTTTCCATAACATATGAATATTTTCTGTCTGAACTGGAGAACACTAATGAAAGAGTGCAAGAAGATATGAGCACAAATTGAAAACATCTGTCTTTTCTTTCTCACCATATTAGGAGGCAATGATTAAGTTGAACCTGTTACACTGTAATGAGCATAGAGAATTGAAAATAGAAGAAAATAACTATAATATCCTACTCAGATATTAAATATTTGTCACAGTATTACCATAATGTTTTGCTCAATCATTTCATGATTCCTAGTCTTGATTACATCAATCCCTTTTTCTCTTATAGAGCTCTGTCCCACATCTAGGAGCCCCCGGTGGCACAATGGGTTAAGCCATTGTGCCGGCAGGACTGAAGACCAACAGGTCAGAGGTTTGAATCTGGGGAAAGGGTGGATGAGCTCCCTTTGTCAGCTCCAGCTCCCTATGCGGGGACATGAGAAAAGCCTCCCACAAGGATGGTAAAACATCAAAACATCCGGGCATCCCTTGGGCAACATCCTCGCAGACAGCCAATTCTCTCACATCAGCAACAACTTGCAGTTTCTCAAGTTGCTCCTGACACGGAAAAAAAATCCCACATCTGAGTGGATATCCACTCATGTAATAGAAATTTCCCTTTTTCTGCCTCTTCCTGCACTTCAGATTAATTCAGAAGACTCAATACCCCAGAGCAGATTTTTGTGGAAAGGTGGCAGGTGGTAGACGGCAACTGATTCAAATAGAAGTGGAATGAGTTCTATCAACAACATCCTTTTTGATGGTAGACAAGTACCACTTAAGGCTTAGAGGAGATATGATAGCCATGTATAAATATGTGAGAGGAAGCCACAGGGAGGAGGGAGCAAGCTTGTTTTCTGCTTCCTTGGAGACTAGGACGCGGAACAATGGCTTCAAACTACAAGAGAGGAGATTCCATCTGAACATTAGGAAGAACTTCCTGACTGTGAGAGCCGTTCAGCAGTGGAACTCTCTGCCCCGGAGTGTGGTGGAGGCTCCTTCTTTGGAAGCTTTTAAGCAGAGGCTGGATGGCCATTTGTCAGGGGTGATTTGAATACAATATTCCTGCTTCTTGGCAGGGGGTTGGACTGGATGGCCCATGAGGTCTCTTCCGACTCTTTGATTCTATGATTCTATGATTCTAAGTTTTAAGTGGCCAGTATACACAAAAAATGCAGTCTCACATTACTCAGATTATCAACATTTAAAAATAATTTAAAAGTGACATTTCAATTTGCAGAAAAGTACCAAAATTGAGAAGAAAGTGTTTTGCTTTTTACTTGTTTTATTATGAGGATTGGGGATATGGGATAGGTATGTAGGTGGCTCTTAGAGCAGAAAATTTAGATTTGAGTCTTTGATATTGGTAAGATCTTCTGTAGTTATTTTGTAAAGCAGAACATTTTAGAACCAAAGAAATTATAGGAAGAACTTTTCTTGATTCCCCACCAGTTTGGTGAAGTTTTCTACTTTACATACAATTATTCATATGTGCATTAAAATGAAAAAAATACTAAATTGTCAACAAGTACAACAAAACAAGTATATTTGAATGTTTAAAAGAAATTAAATAACAGAAGCTTAGTACAAAAAGTAAGCTTAGATGAATTTGATTTTATGCAGACCTGAGAAGCATGATCAGAGTTTGTTTAGGTAGCATCTTTTAATAATATTGCTTCCAAGGTGGCCAATTATCATTTGCTGTTTTGTATTGGCATTCAAATTGGAAACATGGCTCAAATATCAATGGATCTTTTTTTCTCTCTCTTTTTAATAGGTTTACCAGTAATGGAAGCAATGATTCAAAGAACACTATCTCTTCTGTGATCCAATTACTCTACTGTTGGTTTTTTTCGTCATCAGTTGTGAAGATTTGGAGGCTCTGTTGCCATTTTGATCGTTTTTCAACAAGATATGCACATTCCACATTTAGTTTGCCTTTTTCTCCGTGATGGTAAGTTGATTTAAACTGTTAGAAATAATGATTATATCTGTATCCAATAATGTTTTTCAATTAGCATTCAGATATTTTCTTCCCAAGTACATTTTTGAACATACATGTTTGAAAAACCTGTTTGCATAGCATTGGATGGATGAGAAAGAACATCATCCCTGTTTCAAGGGTTCAATGGGTTTAGATGCAGAACAATTGGATCCTATTGAAAACAATGGTTTAAAATATAATCCTTGTCTCAAGAGTCCAATGAATTAGATGCAAAGCAATTGGATCCCATTGGAAGCAATGTTTTAAACAACATCCCTGTCTCAAGAATCCAATGGGTTTAGATGCAGAACAATTGGATCCCATTGAAAGCAATGGTTTAAAACATCATCCCTGTCTCAAGGGCTCAATGGTTTAGATGCAGAACAATTGGATCCCATTGAAAGCAATGTTTTAAAACAGCATCCCTGTCTCAAGAGTCCAATGGGTTTAGATGCAGAGCAATTCGATCCCATTGAAAGCAATATTTTAAACATCACCCCTATCTCAAGAGTCAAATTAGATCCCATTGAAAGCAATGGTTTAAAAGAGGGGTCCTCAAACTTTTTAAACAGAGGGCCAGGTCACAGTCTCTCAAACTGTTGGAGAGCCGGATTATAATTTGAAAAAAAAAAAGAATGAATTCCTATGCACATTCCACATATCTTATTTGTAGTATAAAAAAACCCACTTAAAAACAATACAATAATTAAAGTTAAAGGATTTAAAGACTTTATTCAACGTAATGGAATAACACTAATCATAGACTTATCCGATGTAAGTAAAACAACAATTGAAGAAGAGAAACTGGAAGAGACAAACAGAAGATAAATATTTCTATTGAATAATATTTTTCTTTGGAGGACAATGGGGAGTTGCAACCCCCCCCCTTTTTTTTGTCTTTCTCCCTCCCTCTCTTTTCGTACTTTCTTTCACTATATCACTGCAATGTGTTTCTTCACTTTCACTGTAAACTTCACTTATAACACAATAAAAAATTAACAAGGAAAAAAATAATTAAAATGAAAAACAACTTTAACTAATATAAACTTATTAGTATTTCAATGGGAAGTTTGGGACTGCTTTTAGCTGATGAGATAGGATTGTTGTTGTTGCTTTCAAGTCATTTCAAACTTAGGTTGACCCTGAACGAGGGCCGTATCTGGCCCCCAGGCCTTAGTTTGGGGACCCCTGGTTTAAAACATCATCCCTGTCTCAAGGGTCCAATCGGTTTAGATGCAGAATAATTGGATCCCATTGAAAGCAATGTTTTAAAACAGCATCCCTGTCTCAAGAGTCCAATGGGTTTTGATGCAGAACAATTGGATACCATGTAAAGGGATTTTGTCAGATTTGCATCAAGAAAAAATGGAGACAGAAACTTATTGTCTTTGTGCAATGTGGAAGATAGCGGTTGCCTATGGGGAAGTACTAAAAGTCTAATGAGATGAGAACTAATGAAAATTGAATATATATATATATATATATATATATATATATATATATATATATATATAAACTTGTGATAGCAAAGAGGTTCTGAGGGGTTTTCAGAAAAGTTGTTATATGTCTGGAAAATCTTTGGCCAGTTATCCTCCTGTGCCAGCTGAGATGTTTTCTAAGGCTTGTTTTCAAGTATTCATTTCCTCATGGACTATATTCTGCAAAGCTAACTTTACACTTAATTAATCTTCTTTATATTGTGAGCTCCATGCCTTATATAGTATCGGTTCTTCACTGTTTGGACATTTCTGTCATACAATGTACAGCATTTTCTGGGGTTTAGCAACAATCTTAATTGTGCAAATGCAATGTAGTAATTTTCATAATTATTACCAATTGAAATTGATCCTTCATAGTGTAGCCCATGGAAACAAATTTCATTTGTTTTATTGACCCCCTCCCCCTTTTGTTCTCTTATGCTCGTCCTAGTTCAGGATGCTTCCTCTAATATACTTCTCCAGACAGCTAAGCATAAATAAGTTGTGGTATTTCACAGCCAGAATTCTTTTTGACATCCCAAACAACACTGGAGATAACTTACAAATGGGCCAGTTGGCTTTTTTCCCTATGCAAATGTTCTCTTTCTTCTGTGTCATGACATGAATCCTTAATTTCTTTTTCTGGATTTTTTTCCCTGAGTTGTCAGCCCTGGAAGCCAGTTGGTTTTCATGTCATACATTGGTTATTTTTAATTACTTTTTATGTGAATATGATTATTTGACAGTTTTATTGCTAACTAATTCACAAAAATTCAGAAAACAACAAATAATAATGAAAACCCCATACTTTGATCAATTTGTTACACTGCCCTTTCAATTAGAAAGAAAAGGTTAAAGTACAAGATTGAAAATAATAAGAAGTGAGTTTCTTACAGCTATATCCTCTGTGTTGCCCAGAATTTCTAATACACTTAGTTTACCCTGTGTGCCCTTTCTGGCTGAGACTTAACTGGGCTCTGGAAGCCCATCAGCGCTGTTCATTAATCAGCTGGCTGACCAATTTAGTGAAGTGAGACATTCCAGTGCCCAGAGGAAGGGATCATTCTGTACCACCTTTCTTTGCTGGTGAGGAGAGCAGAGTATAAAGTCCAGGAAGCACATTTCATTTCTCTCTTGGAAAGCAAGAGAATGAATAGCACGGAAGCTTGCCTTGCCAGAGTTTATTTTGTACCTCTCTTCAACTGCATTATCAAAACTTCATGTATATCTTATACTTTTTTAAAGCTAGCATTCTCCTGTTGTGTGCTAGAAAAACTTAACATTCTCATTTATGCCCATTTTAACAAAATGATTTAAAATACTTTACTTTAAAAAAAGAGCTTCTTACACAGTTTTATATAGATGCTCATTGCATAAAAGAAATGCAAAATGTTTTGGTCCTGCCAGGAGCCAAAGTATGGAAAATGATATCACAATTTATATCAGAGAGTATTATCTACACTATTGGATGAATGCAGTTTGTTACCACTTTAACTCCCATGGCTCAGTACTGTAGAATCCTGGGAGACGTAGTTTGGTGAAGCACCAGCATTTGTTGGCTGTTGTTGTTGTTTATTCATTCAGTTGCTTCCAACTCTTTGTGACCTCATGGACCAGTCCACGCCAGAGCTCCCTGCCAGCCATCGCCACCCCCAGCTCCTTCAAAGTCAAGCCAGTCACTTCAAGGATAGCATCCATCCATCTTACCCTTGGTCGGCCCCTCTACCTTTTTCCTTCCATTTTCCCCAGCATCATTGTCTTCTCCAAGCTTTCCTGTCTTCTCATTATGTGGCCAAATTTCTTCATCTTTGCCTCTACTATCCTTCCCTCCAATGAGCAGTCGGGCTTTATTTCCTGGAGTATGGAGTAGTTTGATCTTCTCGCGGTCCAAGGCACTCTCAGAATTTTCCTCCAACTCCACAGTTCAAAGTGTCTATCTTCCTTTGCTCAGCCTTCCTTATGGTCCAGCTCTCATATCCATAGGTCACTACGGGGAATATCATTGCTTTAACTATGCGGATCTTCATTGCCAGTGTGATAGTTTTGTTGGCTGAAACCCTTTAAAAATAGAACTCCCAGGATTCCATAGCATTAAAGTGGTGCCAAACCGCATTCATTCAACAGGTTTAGCCATTTAGAAGACACGGAATCATTTTAGCTCATTGGATAAGAAAACACAGAACTTCTATGGTGATTATTCAGCAAGTAAAGCAAACATGTTCAGAGTTACTACTACTACTTCTTCCACCTTTCAATGATCCCAGCCACTGTCCAGGTTCCTAATTCCAAATGATGTATGCAGTGAGCATTTTGCAGATTGATTTGTGTGTCCTACATAGCTAAATGGAACAAGTGGTCAAAGCCAGAGTCTCAAAGCAGGATCTGAGTCATTCTTGCACTTTTCAGTCCAAATGCTCATAGATGAATGTGACATGCATAAATAAGAAGCTGCCGCGAGGAACTTGGTCATTTTTGAATTATTTCTGCAGGATAGATTCTGTTACAATGTAATTTATTGCAGAAGAGTTAGCAGTCTTCATTCCTCAAGAAAATAGCCTTTTCTCTCCCATCTTAATTCCCCAAGAAAATAGGCTCTTGTTCTTTTGGAAAAGAACAGTTGCTCAGACAGGAAGCAGAATACATTAACAAGTTTATACTTTTTGTGTAGAGATATGATAGTTAGAAAGTTGGGCTCATGTTCAAATCCCACTTAGGCTGGACCTACACTGCCATATAAATCCAGTTTCTGAATCCGTATTATCTTCTTTGAATTGGATTATATTTATCTACACAGCAATATAATCCAGTTCAAAGCAGATAATCTGGATTCAGAAACTGAATTATATGGCACTGTAGATGGGGCCTTAGACTCAGAAACTCATTAGGAGACAGTTGAATATTTAATCTCTTACCACCACAGAGTAATTGTGTGTATAAACATGGTGGGAAAAATGACCATGAATCACACTGTTTGAAGTAAAATGGGATATTCATATAATGAATAGAGTAGCTTCTTCCAAAAGGATTTATGACAGTATTCTGTAATAGAGTTATAGAACCATAGAGTTTGAAGGAGCCCCATTGACTCCAACCCCCTGCTCCGTATAGCATTTTCAGGTACAGCATCCCCAGCAGGTTGTTTTCCAGCCTCTTTTTAAGATGTCAGGAGGAACAGATCCTACACCTCTCTAGGCAGTCAGTTCCATTGTAAAACCAGTCTTACTGGAAAGTTGTTTCTTCTAAGATTCAATCAAAATCTACCCTCCTGTAACCTGTGCTCTTGTGATTCTATTCGATCAGCTAAAAATTTTTTGTAAACTCTGCTGTAACCTTCTTGAGACTTGTTCTTTTCTTTTATACTCTTATGCTGCCTGATACAGAGGTTGAATATTTATTCCAAAATTCTGGTCACCTATCTATAATTTGGAATAACATCAGAAAATTTTATCTATATTTAAAAAAATCTGATTCCATCATTGCCAAAGTCACCAA